GAATGATATATACTGTTCTATATCACATTCTGTATTTTTTTTTATTTACCCCAATATCCTGATCCAAATCCCCTTCCCTATTATTTTTCCTTATCCAATGGAAAATGAATTAAAAAAAAGAACTCCTGTCTTTTAGTGAGGGGTTATCTGTAATGTCTCTTTAGTGCTCTTGGTCCCATTATCAGTCCAACCAACCTACCTGACATAGTTGTTATGGAGATAGCGGGTGGGGGGACTAGAAATGCTGCTTGAACTCATAAAGAAAAGGCAAGCTGGAAATGGAATGTTAAAGGAAGCATCTTCTGCCTAGAAAAGTCACATATTTTTACTAAAACTCCTAAAATCTAAAACACAAGAGTTATATATTTTACATTGTGTCTCCTCTGGGTCACGCTGGGGGATGCGGGGATGCAGGATGCTTGTGTGCGGGCAGGCATCTGTACATGCAGGGGGCACATGGTGTGTGTGTGTGTGTGTGTAGGCGCATGTGTGTGTGTGTGTGAGAGAGAGAGAGAGAGAAATATCTGTGTAGCCCTCAAGGTCAAAAGTTTGTAGACCCTGTGCTAGAATGATACTTTTAGTTCATGTACAACAATGCACCAGCCTTCCCTTCCATCTATGGTAGTGGAAGCAATCATGCAGAGCATCTCTGAGATCATGCGCTGCTTTTGCTGTTTGAAGTAGTAAAGGAACATACATACCATCAATGTAGGAATTTGTGGTAATTGTGTCAGCAGAGTACAGAAGGCCCAAGACCTGGTTGTGGAGCTAGCATGGTTGCCATGGGATACCATGAATAGTCCCCCCCTTCCCTTGCAAACAAAGAAGAACAAAAAACAAAACTATTTACTTGAAAAGTGAGAACGGGTCATAAGGAAGTGACCTAAAAGTAACAATCTACAAGTAGTATTTTTTTCTTTTTCTTTTTTGTTTTTGTTTCAGCTGGTACCTTGGAAAAAAATTTCATGTTATCTTGAAAACTCATACTATGTTATGAACAGTAGCAGTTTCTATTAAAGCAAGGTGTTTTCAAAAGTACAAAAATAGTCGCTGACCAAATGAGGAGGGTGAGAAGATCATGACAAAATGAGGAAGCTGAACTGAATGTTACATCTCTGAGGTAATGTAGTGCTCCCTGGAATGACTTTGAGGCTTCCTGCCTTTCCTGACCAAGTAGCTAGCTATTAATCACTGATCACACCCAGAACTATGGCATGAGCTTTTAAGTGAGCTTTCCTGAATGTTTTGCCAAGTAAATATGCAGACATGTTGAAATTTATTCTCTGGAGATTGTCCAGGCTCTACGTCTGCCCAAATGAGTTGCCAGGAAAACAAACCTCTTACTGGAAACCAGCTGATAACCATCATTTCCTGATTAACATTTATCAGTGCTCAGGGATAGATGTCATCTGTGCTTTATTGATTTTGTGTGTTTCATCAAAGAAGGGTCATTACAATTAATTTCACTTTTTTCCATCTTGCCTTGTTAACACACAACATAAAGAAGCTGCTAGAGCATGCCCGGAGATGCTGAATAGTAACCTATGAACAATTGCATGTCTCCTGTGTTGACCAACTTAGTGGAAAGGTCAACATATGTTTGGAGACATACATTTGACTGCTCACAATTTGGCAGTATTCTGTTCTAAAGTGCACTCCTAATTGTGCAATAGAGCAACTAATACAACAAATGCCTCATCAATTTGCAGTATCTTGCCATGGTGATTCACATAATTTAGCATGCATATGTATCAACTGGGTTTTGGCTGATGATGCAAACACAGAGACCCTATTAAATGCAGTGTAACCTTTTGACTGGCTTAGATTAAATTATAAAGAGCGTAGCTTCACATCATCGTGAAAGATTTTGAGAGCAAATAAATGCAGAGTTCCTCTAGTGAGTCAGGAGAGAACTACAGCTGACATGGCAATGTATGCACCACAACTTTGGTGGCTATTTGCATTATGTTAAATTCAAGAAGGTGCAGTTTGGAGCAGAGAAGTGTCATAGGGGAGGAATGCCTAACCACAAGTGGATGCTTGTGTTGGCTCTTCCAGTCAGGGTAAACTGGGACATCTTCATTTGCAATCCTCAGACCAGCAATGGAAACTTACTAGAGGTGTGGAATTGATAAAATCATTCTTAAATATCTCACTTACCTTGAAAACTCTATAAGTTGACTTCAGCTTAATGGCACATAACACACATATATTACTCTGAGTATCCACACTTGGGATTTTTTAGATTCCAAGACATTAGTAACCCTGCTCACATACTGGATGCAAACTACATTTTTCCATTTTGCCTCCATCCTCCAGCAGTGGAGCAACATAGGCAAGCATATTGTGGGCACGGAAGTGATCTGAAGCCTCTGTGTTATTTCAGGAGACAAAGCAGAAGCATGTCTTTGTTAAGTGGACACTCAAAAAAAGAACCCACCAAGGACACCATGCAGTTGTGAAAGAAGAGGAAGGAAAAGAAGCAGAAATATAACCAGGCTTGGGGAAGGAACTCTTCTGCAGAACTTTCTCGCAACATGCATGCATGAGGGGATGCTGTAGAACTACCCACCCAACCCAGTAACACAGAATGATTCACTGGACTGAATCCTGCTCATGCTTTTGCATTGTCGTTGTGCAGTGGTGTAAACTTTAGTGGCTAATTGACACGTTGGCACTTGCATTCTTTGTCATACCCCAGCTTAAAGAACTGGTGAACAAAGAGGAATGTAAGTGGCAACTTCTTAATTAGTAGCACTTAGTCTCTGCAATGTATGCTGTTGCACCTATGCCAGGATAATCAGTAGCATTCTGGTTGCTGGATAGGTGCATACAGTCAAAAATCTTGCTGAATATATTGGCACAAAAAGATCCTTACTGCCTCTCAAGAGGAACGAAAAATGCACAACTTCAAAGGAAAAGTTGCAGTACAGTGTGAGATAAAAAGAACATGGTATGGATGTTGGGGTCGACTAAATCAATGAGCAAGGAAAGCATGCCTTTGACTGTCACAAAAGAGACATATGAAAGATGCCTGAGTTGCAACGAAAAAGATAGATACCATTTACATCTAGGCATACACTATGATGTAATTCTGCCTGTAGCTGCCTCCTCCCAAATGCATGTTACTCTAACATAAGTGTTTGTTGCAGTGTTATTAATTTATTTAAAGCATTTTTATCTTTCCAAGTTGAAAGGTCTACAATCAATAAAAGACTCTTTATTTGCAATCTAAAAAAAGAAGGGACACCCCTCGCCAAAAAAAACCCTGAGAAAAGTGGAGAGGAAAGAAAAGAAAAAGCAGTGTTTCAATAGGTCTGATGGATTTGCCTTTCTCTTCACATCCTCTTTGCTGTAGCTAACGAGGAGGAGCCACCATGGAACTGCTCTTTCAGAAGGACTTTCCACATAGCCCTGCATTCCACCATTCTTGTGATCTGGATTCATGCAGTGTTTAACTCCACCTCCATTAACTTTTCTCCCAGAAGTCAGATGGGTGACGTGGCAGCAAGCAAATCCAGGGAAGTAAGAAGAATTCAACTTGGAAAGAGTCAACATTTCCCATCATCATTATTAGGATCATCACCAATCTTTTCCTCCTCTTCCTTCAGAAGTGTCAATAAGGAAGGAACATTTTCACCAAATATTTCAGATAACAGTGTTCCCTTTAAAACTGCCTTGATAACTATTGTATGAATATTTCATCATGCATCACCTTAGAAGGAATGGGAAAACTTTCATGGTACCAAGATATTCTTCAATTTTGTAGTTGTAACATAAAAATATTGAGACAAAATGTAGGTTTTCTGGTTTGAGGGGGCAAATCATACATTAAGGTAAATTTATATTTCTTGCTGTTTCATTTTTCTCCAACAACACAATTCTTTAGGCAAAATCAGAGAAACCAGAGTTTGCTTCTCACTGACCAATTAGTTTGCAAAATGTGGAGTGGGACAGAATCTTGATAGAAAAATCAGGTTTTTCAATTTGCTATTATCATTTCAGAGAGATCTGCTTCTAATAATACAGTGGTGCCCCGCATAGCAATGATAATCCGTTCCGGAAAAATCGTCGCTATACGGATTTGTTGCTATGCGGGGCAAAAAAGCCCATAGGGACGCATTAAAACATGTTTATTGCGTTCCTATGGGGGAAAAATTCACCGTTATGCGAAAATCTTCCATGCGGCCGCCATTTTCGCTGCCTGGTAAGTGAGGAAAGGGTGCGAAAACACTGCGGGTGGCCATTTTATTTACCCAGTGGCCATTTTGGAACCACCAATCAGCTGTGCGAAAATGGGGTATTTGTGCCCCGCTTTCGCACAGCTGATTGGAGGGCCTTTGCGAAGATCGCGCACCCCGCCATCAGCTGTGCAAAAATGGGGCATTTGCAACGATTGCTTCCCCCCGATCATCACAAACGCTCCTTTTTTGCACAGCTGATCAACGGGCCTTTGTGAAGATCGTGCGGCCTCGCTGATCAGCTGTGCGAAAATGGGCCGTTTTTGTGATGATCGGGGAGGAAGCAATCATCGCAAAGCGATTTTTCCCCATAGGGAACATCACAATGCGATTGCTTTTGCAATCGCAAAATCTTCATCGCTATGCGGATTCGTCATTAAATGGGGCACCTGTTAAGCGAGGCACCACTCTATTCTAATGATATCCTCACTCTCTGCCATCACAGTGGTATTATCTGCATATCAAAGGTTGTTAATATTTCTTCCAGCAATCTTAATTCTAGTTTGGGATTCCTCCAGAATAGCCTTTTGCATGATGTATTCTGCATATAAGTTAATTAGTCTCTATACGTTTGCCTTTTAATTAAGTTGAGTAAGGAACTGGTGATTGATACTGTGTGTCTGGGGCTGTTCAAAGGACAAAGAAATCTCTGTTAGTTTTGATTGCTTTTATGGTTTTTCCGAAATTTCCAGTTTGCAGAAACTCCTCCCCATGTACTGATTAAACATGGAGCTATTGCAAAAGTTCCTGCCTTAAAGAGCACTCTTTGAATAAATAGTGAAAGCCTTCCTGCTTCTGCTGACCCTCCACATCACGATGGAGGGGATGGCTCTCTACCTGGTAGCTGCTCTCCTGGTCTGTTTTCCAGCTCCATCTCACAGCCAGCTGTAAGTAGAAGATACATTTCAGCAGCTTGTCCACCTCTTTAATGATTCTTGAGCCAGGATAGCTTTTTGCTCAGGAAAGTGTTGCTTGCATTTTCTTCTCTGAAGTTATGCATGGCAGACATCCATCAGATTCAGAATTCTTCTCCTTTTAGCAAGGATTTGAGATAGGCTCAAAAATATAGCTCAGTAGTTTATCTACCTGGCAGTGGAACCAATTCCCCATTGTGCTTCCATGATAGTGTTGGACTTGATAATCTATAGGGTCCTTTCCAGCTCTGCAGTTCTAAGATAGTTGTTGCTGTGATTTTCTCCTTAGATGTCTAAACATTTTGGTGCCCAAGACAGAAAAATCAAAATAGCCAAGGATAATATTCCCAGTTAGCAGCTTTTCAGATGTAACGGCAAATCTATACACGGTGGGGCACTTCACTGCCTAAGGGCAAGGTCAGCCCGGAACTTATGAGGTGGAACACAATTATTTCTTTGTTTGTTTTGGAAAAGGTTGAAACTGTGCTTTTGAAAGAAGAAGAATCTTGGTATACCAGCCTGTGGCTGCACCTTTATTTAATCTAGTGTGCTGTCTCCCATGATTGGCAGGCCTCCAGGACATTCTGAGGAGATTTTTGCTATGTGTACTTGTGCATGTCCTGGGAAGATCCTGCCAAATGTGCTGGCCTCCTGGGGTGTGCATTTACGGGCAAATGTACATGGGGGCGATCTCACAGTAAGGTGGTCTCAGCTATAATTGTTAGATAAGGAACCAATTACCTCTAGAGCTGGTAAGTCCTCCAATACTAGAGGCATTCAAGAGAAATTTGGCACCTGGTAGATATTGTTTGATTTGTATTCCTGCACTGAGCCTGGGATGGACTTGATGGCCTTATAGACCCCTTCCAACTTCATCATTCTATGATATCAGCACCGGCTGTCAGCTTTGAAGGGAGGAGGGACAGGTTTCTTAAAGGGTACGTGTAATGTCTGTGCCCATAGACCTGACCATTTTAAATTCAGTATTTAAAGGTCAGCAAGTAGCTCTGGGTGCTATTTAAACATGGTGCAGACTGATGATGCCTGATGGCTTCAGGATTCTTGCATAGGGGACCGCAAGCTCTGTAAAGGTAAAATCAAGATCATGTCTGTGAGGAAAAAACATATATACATAGAAAATTACAATTGAAAGTAGAGACAAATCTCAACTGGAAATTAGGCAGAGTGCTGGTGTTTTAAAAGTGAATTGAAGCTGAATCCAAATGTGAAATATTTTTATTGCCCACTTTTAAATAGCACAGCAGTTGTTGGTGGAAGGGATTATGAGGAGACAAAGACAGGCAAGCAGGCAAGTGTGAACCACCCCAGGCTCCTGCTCTCTCTGGGCAATCTCTCTCCTTTCCAGCACAGCCTCCTGCCATGAACTGCCT